CTACTCAAATCAATATATCACAAGTGGGTTACAAGCCACTTGGACAAGTTACAAGCCCTGATAGATGTACCTTTGTTGTCAATGTGATGTGTCTGTACTTAATATTTTGACTAAATCTGACATAGCCTATCTTCGAAGTAGTAGACTTCTTTTTCTTTCATAACTACAATTAACATCCCTGTGAATAATTAAGTCTGGAAAGATAAATTGTTCTTTATCGGAATTTTATATTTAATCTGTAAAACATGTGAGTCAACACTCACAGCAGGTAACTTCCCCTTGCCTTGCCTTGAAAAAAACAAATAGGTTCATATCTGGTCTGCCTTTAGATTGGAGACTACAGCATCAAGAAGTCCTTAGGCTAGACTAGAAACTGAAAACCATAATCCTGGGAAAATGCGGCAGCAAAACACTTCTATATCGTTGAAACAGGTATATATATTTAAGAAATCAAGATGGATGTCTACATTAAGCCAAGTGCTAAGCTCAACTCCAGGAAATTGTTTCCTTCAGAAAGGGAATCTTTAGGAAGTTACACTGGTTGAAACTGTTCTAGAAAGGCAACAGGAAATCTTGAAGAAAAGGAAAGTATTACTCAGCAGCATTGTTTAAAATGACTAAAAACTGAGCAGGACAATTGTCTGCTGGACCATAATGATGAATTTACCAAACACTCTACTGGGTAAAATAGTATGCATTTGCTTGGGGTTGAATGCCAGCTGGGCAAACCAAGTTGAGATGACAGAGTCTTCATCCTGAGAAATTATCTGAGATTGGTTTGAGCCTGTGGATATTGAGGGAATCGATAGGGACCTCAGTGCTGTTAGCTCTGCTACCTATAGATTAGATGCCCTACTGATTGGTGAAAGTGGCCAGAGAGCTGTCAGGAGTCTGGATGCAGGCAGAGGTAAATGCATTTTTGAGTGAGAGTGATGCGGTCAAGCCCAAGGGCGGCAAACCCAAGGAACAACAATCACTTGGATTTCTGGAAAGAACTTTAATGCTAGTAAGGTCATGTAACAAAATTTTGAAAGCCTGTCAAAGCAGTTCTTCAGCTCCCATTATATTTATATCAATTATAAGGCAGAATTGTTCTCTCTCCCTTCCCTTGAACTAAAATCTGTAAAAGATCCAAATCCCCCCAGTAACATTTTGCTCTGCCCTGCATGTTTTTATTTATTTAAAATATTTATGTAGCTGCCCATCTTTTAGACAAATCTGGGTGGCTCCCAATAAAATCAAATTATACCCAGGGCATAGACATTTCATCACACTATCTTTCCTTCAACCCCACCCAACCTCCGCACACTACTAAAAGCACAGAGAGTGATATCCTCTACTCCCCTGCAAAGATGGGCCAGGTATCTATCTCTACAAGGTCAATAGACAAGTTTGAAATGGAAGACACCACCAAAGTTGGAATGTGGCCCACACTCCCCAGACTTATTTAAGTCTAAAGCAGCAAGTTGTGAGGCAGAGGAATGAGGAACGTTCTTCCTGTTTGTTGAAAGTCTGGCAGTTTAGGGAAACAAAGCTTCTACAGAAATTACAAATGCAACTGGCAAACCACTTTGGGTATGTGTACATCTGCCTCTGTTTCACACAATCTCTGTCTAACCTCCTGCATCTAGAACCTAGGATATACTCCACTTTATATTCCTCTTCCCAATCCACCAGAACTGGGGGTAAGATGGGAGTTGATTAATGCAAGGGACAAGGAGGCCCTACCCCAGTGGTGGCGAACCTATGGCACGGGTGCCAGAGGTGGCACTCAGAGCCCTTTCTGTGGGCACACATGCCATTGCCCCAGCCTTGCCTCCCCCTGCGACTCCCTTCTCACCAACAGCCCCCCTGGAGGAGAGTCGCCCCTGGGCGTGGCCTACGCGGAGCAGCACAGCCAAGGACATGGCAGCCAGGCAGCGTAGACAAGAGTGCCCTCATGCCCCATCGCACAAAGTTGATGCTGTGGGGCGCGGGCAGAGGGCGTGGCCGCCATGGCGCTGCTGGGCTGCCTGGGCGATCTGTGGCGGGCCCTGGAGGCGGTGAGTGGCCCTGCAGGCAGACGGGATGGGGCGGGGCAGGGGGTGGAGCGGGGGGCAGGACCAGTTTTGGGGCACTCGGTCTCTAAAAGGTTCGCCATCACTGCCCTACCCATTCAAGGATAGAGTGGTGTAACATCAGTTGTATTTTCATAGAAGCAAGCAATTGCGCATCAAAGGCCATCTGAATGGATGAAGGAGAGTGAAAGCTTCATGAAATTCTGCTACCTTCTTGAGCATCAGCTGCCCCTTTATATACAGCCTCAGCCAAATCCAGCAGCTCCTGTAACTGGAACTGTGCTCCCTGTCTCTTTTGGAGAAAATTGAGGCTTGAAATGAAATCTTTGTTCATTTCATTCACTCTTACATCATAAAATCTTATTTCAAGACGCTTGTCAGTGATGAAATGGCAGCTCTTGGTTTTCAGTTAGAAACATATTTTGGAACTGGCCCAGCGTGAAAACAAATCCCGACCCATGTGCTGGATTCTCCTCGTGCTACACAAGGTTTTTCGTGATACTGTTGTAGATGCCCTGGATATATGCTGTCAGATTTGATCAAGCATTTCATCCAATGGGCAGAGATTGAGTTATGTTACATAAAGCAATCCAGCATTTGAACTTATTATATACAACTAGAATGGTTTTGTTCAGTCTGCATTTGCAGCCCACTTGCAGAACACCTCATAGGTATAAGGTGTTGCCATAATTGGTTGGTTTCTCTTGAAAAGAAGGACAGATATAAGTCTGCATAGCTTTCAGTTTCTGACAATTTTGTGAAATCCAATTAATTATATAGCAGGAATATCTTTAAAAGTTTTCAAATACAATAAAATGGGGGTGGAGGTGTGGGTGTTGAATATGTTGCTACATTGAGGCATGCTGTCTAATGCTCTTCAAGTAAAGACTGTGAAACATGAAAGAAGGTGAGGTGCTTGTGAGGAGACTTCTCTTTAAATTAATAACATTTCCAAAAACTGGCAAAAAAGTTTCCTAGTAAGATGTTAGCACTTTGTTGTGAGGAATGCATGTTTGTCAAAGGATGTAAGTATCAAAGGATATAAGTTTTACATTTCTGCACACACTTCCCCATCCACATCCTGACAGCCTCCAGACACTTGTTCATGTTTTTCCCCCCAGTTCTCCCATCTGACCTGGGAAGGAGATGTATAATTGAATATCATCTGTATATTGAAGATACTGCTTCCTGAACCAATGGATAACCAGGGAAAGGACTGGTCATCTGTAATGAAGTGCTTGTGGGTCTGATCTTCTGTCTTTGCCACAACCACCATCTAGGAATAGCAATAGCACTTAGACTTATATACCACTTCACAATGCTTTATAACCCTCTCTAAGTGGTTTACATATTGTCCCCAGCAATCTGGGTTCTCATTTTACCGACCTCGGAAGGATGAACGGTTGAGTCAACCTTGAGCTGGTAAGAATTGAACTGCCAAACTGCTGGCAGTCGGCAGTCAGCAGAATTGGCCTGCAATACTGCATTCTAACCTCTGTGCCACCATGGCTCTTAAATTAAGCTCTTAATCTAGACACACCTGTTCAAATGGGAGCAATACCACCATTGCACAGTTATCCCAGTCAGACTTACAAGATTCAATTATTAAACCCAATCTCAATATAATAGTTTCAGCCCTCCTGTGGAGATGTTTTCTTGTTCTGGTCTACCTAAAGGGTAGATCCCTAAATGACTGCAACCAGGAGTGCTGGGATTGCAGTTGTTGAGCAAAGAAACTTAACTGAGATTCCAGTCCCAATTATGGTAGTTAAGTGTGGAATATCTGTAAACAAATTAAAGGACCAGACAAACTTGAAGTAATTGTCAGCTGTCCCGGTTAGGCCAGACGGGAAACACAACTATATGAACTAATTCTACTTTATGGTAATGCTACATTAACAGAACCTTACAAGTTGGAAAGTACAAACTTTCTATTAACACTTTTAAGTTTTTGATCAATTGGGGCATTTCTTCCTAAGTTTCCTTTTCTACCATTAAGCCACCAGGAGATCTTGACTTTCTCATCTGTTTCCTAGACAGCATCTCTTCCCTGCTTTCCTCAAAGTCGTCCACACCTTCCTTTACAAATGGAATATTAGGATTTTTGTCATAAGATTAAGAAAATAATTATATAAGTGGGAACCCATTTGTGTAGTCTATCCTAAGTCCAAACAGAAACTTGAGACTTTATGATTTCAGAAATTGAACACTAGAGGGGACTGATGATTCCAGGCTGAAAGGGAAAGGAGAAAAAAGTGAAAAGCCTGACGCTTGTCTTTGGTCAGCCTTGGAATTTGCAAATTGACAGAAAACACTTTGACTTTTAAAATACTACAGGAGATTTTTGAAGAATGGGGACAAAAAATAGTAGCTTTAATCTTAGCAATAATACATGCTTCTATGAATATATTATGTCCGAATGATATTAAAGCAGAAATTAGTGATGTGCACAAGAACATCCTGGAAGATTTACAAGGTAAAGAGATAAAACAAATGTTGCCTGAATCAGAAATATCAGAACATAAAGAATTTGCAGAAGTACTGAAAAATGGACTCTGAAACAGAAAACAACTAAATTGGAAATATGAATAACAAGCCAAGAAATTGACTTGGATAAGGAGTTTTTATTGGCCTTACAAAAGAAGTTGATTAAAGCTCTGAAGAAATAATTGAGATGAGAAAAAGTTACATATTTAAAAAGTTCTTTAGTTTCCATTTTAAAGTGTTGGAGAGAGTTGAACTATATTACACTTGTGTTAATGAATATTCTTAGTTGCTTTTTCACTTGCATAATTTTTATGGTGAAGATTTATAATTTTTGTAATCCTAATTTAAAACCTAATATTTATTTATTCTCTTCATAATAACTGAAATTCTAATAAAGTGTCTGTTGGCATCCAGAATAAAATTTGAGGAAAAAAAATGTGATTTCTGAAATATTAGGTGGTTCTTGTTCGATGGAATGAACCATTTCAGAAGCTGGCAACTTGTGATGCTGATGGTGGAATATTTGTTTGGATTCAGTATGAAGGCAGATGGTCTGTGGAGCTTGTGAATGATCGTGGAGCACAGGTTAGTAAACACCACTTGGTTTGGCCTTGGGAATTGTCTTGACTTTGGAAAAAAAAATAAAGAGGAGAGAAAAACTGCCTGGAGAAAGTAGGAAAATGGAATTGTTAAGAGAAATGTTTTAACTGAAAAGCATATAAAATTAGCATATTTTCTATAGCTTACCCTGAGGCAAGTAGCAAAAGGACAGTATGCTATTTCTGGAATACAATTTGAAACAAATGCTTATGGGTGAATTACCACAAGGACAAATGGAGCAAGAGGCTGAATGTACTGGAGTCTTATGCTATTTCCACTCTGACTATATGGATCTACCTACAAGTCATTGATAACTTTTCTATAAATAATAATTGAAATGCCAATGAATCTTTTGTTACTTCAATTTTACGTTGTTACTATTCCAAGTAACATTACATGCAACTGTAATGCTAATCCTAGCATATGTTTGTGATTTCTTGGCCAGGAACATAGGGCGAGTTCATAAATTTTATTTCTCATTATGATATTTAGGCTATAGATTCTAGCATAGTAGAATAACAACTAATTGCTAAACCAGGGCACCAATTATCACCATTTAAACTAATGTATTTATTAAACTTATTTCTATACTGCCACAATCAAGACTCTCAGTGGCTTACACAGAATATATCATACACCTTAACGCATCCACGCTACAATTTTATAATCCAATAATTATATAAATAGTAACAATAAAAGCAGGGCAACAAAACAATCATAATAATCATAGAAAATAAAAATAGATTCCTGCCTGAGCAGGGGGTTGGACTAGAAGGTCTTCTCCCAATTCTGTTATTCTGTTATATACTATTATAGATATAGCAACATCATTCAGCTGTCCAAAATAGTTCAATTTTCAATAGTTTTTTTTTTAACTCAACAATTTAAATGAAACTATGCCGTGTAAACTCCCTGGATAAGATACCTATAACTTGGACATAACAGTAATGTTTATTCCCTGAAGGATATAGAGAAGAGCAGGATTTTAATTACCCACTTGAATAGGCTGATGCCCTGAGCGTAGAGCATTGCAGGAATATCTGTCATGTGTCTTGTTCAACCCCAATGTATTCAGTAAATTATGGTTAAACCATAGTTTAGTATAAAGTTCAGATTTAATCTTCATTTATTTAAAAAAGGTAAAGCAACCTAAAATACTTAAATGTTAATCATTTTTAAATCTCATAAATTTCAGTACGAAAGATTAAGTACACACCTACATATTCTAGCTAGTTCAGATTTTATCTTTGATCAATTTAATCTGGAGGATACAGGTAGATTTTTTTAAAACTTGAATTATAAAATGATACAATATGGTGGCATTGCCAGAATTATGGGCATTGAAGATCCTTATTTGTGGGCCTTTTCATGACAGAAATTTGATGATCTTGTGAACTAGAAGTCTCAGAAAATATGGATGCTAATGGATTGAATCTGTATTTATTTTTTCTATGTTGTGTGCTTTTAAAAAAGGCTGGAATACACAGTCAAAATAATGTCTAATCTTATATGTTAAGGTGAGCGATTTTACATGGAGCCATGATGGAACACAAGCACTTATATCCTACAGAGATGGATTTGTGCTGGTTGGATCAGTCAGTGGACAAAGACATTGGTCTTCAGAGATTAACCTGGAGAGTCAGATCACCTGTGGCATATGGACACCTGATGATCAACAGGTAATTTCCCCCTAAAAGCAAGAATTACATTTGTCTTTTATTGTTAACTATTGATTTTTACTATACATAAAACAGGAGAGCATTGGATCTACTTGGGTTCCTCAGGTATATGAAAAAATATTTTGTGATAATACAAATGGTGTGTTTATAAACCTTCCTGTATACATCAACTTGATCTGTTTAGAATGTTGGAAGTTGCTTGAGATTTGTGAACATATTTAGTCAAGCCATGGCAATACTATCTTCTTCATTGTGGCCAACAGTGCACTTCAACTCCTTTGAGCTCAGCAGATTATCTCATAGATGTAGGCAAACTGGCAAATATATTGGTGGACTCAGACCAGGTGCTATTTTAAAGGCTTTGAAAATCAATTCATATATTCCAAAGTGTACTATCCACAGTAGATAGTTCAAAGAAGTATAAATACAATACTAGTCATGGGAATCCACAGGGGCAACAAATATAAGGATGTAATGACATCCTTGTAATGCCATGGCTGACATTACAAAAAAGATGTTGAGACTTTGGGGAAAAAGTGCAAAGAAGAGCAACTCAGATGATTAAAGGCCTGGAGATTAAAACATATGAAGAACGGTTGCAGGATTTGAGTATGGCCAGTCTAGAGAAAAGAAAGATTAGGGGGGAACATGATAGCAGTATGCCAGTATTTGAGAGACTGCCACAAAGAAGAGTGAGTGAAACTATTTTCCAAAGCGCCTGAAGGCAGGACAAGAAACAATGGATGGAAACTAATCAAGGAGAGAAAACCTGGAATTAAGGAGAAACTTCCTAACAGTGAGGACAATTAACCAGTGGAACAGCTTGCCTTCAGACATTGTGGGTGCTTCATCACTGGAGGTTTTTAAGAAAAGACTGGACCGCTGAAATAGTAGAGGTTCTCCTGCTTGAGCAGGGGACTGGACTAGAAGACATCCAAGGTCCCTTCCAGCTCTATTCTGATTGATTGTGTTCTGATTGATCACAACACAAGTATGTACAGGTAGTCCTCAACAACAGTTCATTTAGTGACAACAGCACTGAAAAAAAAGTGACTTGTGATTGCTTTTCACACCATTGCAGCATCTCCTTGGTCACGTGATCAAAATTCAGATGCTTGGCAACTGGTTCATATTTATGACCGTTGCAGTGTCCCGGGGTCATGTGATTCCCTTTTGCGACCTTCTGACCAACAAATTCAATGGGGAAGCCAGATTTACTTAACTACCATGTGACTCATTTAATCACTGCAGTGATTCACTTCTGGCAAGAATGGTCATAAGATGGGGCAAAACTCACTTAACAACAGTTTCCCTTATCAGCAAAAAATTTGGGCTCAATTATAGTCATAAGTCAAGGGCTACCTATAATGGTAACAATTTCATTATGACTGCAAATGTCATCAAATATTATATATATTTATATCACTCTTAACAGAGGTATGTTAGCTTTTCATTTTGATGCTGAGACAGAGAAAAAAAAATGTTCCCATTTCTTTGGCTGAACCAATTTGTATCTTGTTAGATACAAGATCAGTAAATTCTTGGTTACTTCTGACTTCTGACCAGGTACAATTCTATCTAGCTCTCAATTGATTGAGAATGTTAAGCTCAGAACACAAATTTGCTAGTTTGCTTTGGTATTAGTGTCAGATTTAATCAGTGAAATACATCCTTACTTCTCTGGCTCCTGTTCCTTTAATACAATATTATCTCGTAAAAATGTGCTGCAGCCTGTATAAATGTAAGAGAAAATTGCTATTGAAATTTTGACACAAAACCAGATACTTTAGAATAGCCTCTGTGCAACAGATGTTTCAACTTGATTATAGATTAAGGAACAGCTGAAGATAGAGAAAATGTTATTTTGAGCACAACAGAATTTGGGAAGATTCAAAATGCAGAAGCAGAGTGTGTTGACTTTTCAGTGCTTTAATGAATGAGCAAACTGATGTCTCAATTTCTTAAAATATGTGTTATTGGAATGTAAAATCTACTGTGTCTAAAACATATATGTAAAATATATACATAAGTTTAAATCATTTAATTTTGTTATTGTTGTGCAAAGGAAGGAGGGGTTACTCTCTATTTTTCCTCATATATGTTCACTATAAGCTTCTCCTTGATAGAGCCTTTAAAATATCATGGCCAGTGACATCAGGTGGCTGTCCCGAACTTTATATTCCCTTGAGAGACTTTGGACCCTTTTTTGTACTGATAGTAGCAAGAAATGATGGTTTTCTTCTTCCTATGTTTAAAGTCAATTTCAAACATAATATTTCTTCCAACGTTTTAATTGTTATGACACAGAATAGCAAATAAACACGGAATAGAAAAAAGCATTTGTGATTAATTAGACAGTATGCTTAATATGTGTAGAATGACAGCAAGAATTAAATTGCTGTAGTAAAGAGCAGTTGTAATGACCAATAATGGAGGCGTCTAGAAAGTTCAGTTTTAACAAAAAGACCAACCAACACATAATATTTTGAGTTATTATAAAAAGCTTTTGTGTTGCTATTTGTGTCATTTTTCTTATTTCAGTATAATGACTTCTGTTTGCTGATGTTCTTTTGTGCATGTATTATTCCAGTGTTTCACATTCTGGACTGGCTACAGGAAATGGTTTTCTTTCTATATTTAGAACGTTGAAACATTTTAATGCTGACTTTTAAATTGTTATGAATTATTGAAACAGAGAACACTCATTCCTTCCATGCTTGATGTTTATGAGCTTGCACGATATGATTAATGAAATGAAAAAGAAGTGAAGCTAGTCTCTGGAGTAGCTTTCTTTTTCCTTCTTTTAACTGTTTATATTAAACTGTCATTTCTTCAGCTACAAATATAAGGATGCTATCACAATGTGAAAACCTCCCTCCATTCCAACTTATCCCAACCTAGTGTACTCCAGATGTATTGAGCTACAATTTGGTGTACCGTTTGAAGGGTGCCAGATTGGGGAATATTTTTATATATTTAGTCCCATTTTTTTTCAAGTAGGTCCTTCCTTCATCTAACTTTTGAAGATGAGTGGAATGGCACAAATGTACACTGAGTCATACCTGTGCACATTTACTGAGGAATAATTTGCTTGGAGCAGGATTTCCACCTGACTGAATGTGCATAGCACTGGAGGGTGAATCCAGAAGAATGCTTCTTACTTAATAGACTTGATCATTGGCCATCCACATTTGCCTGAATCAACAGCTACCCATGTTTGTTTGAAACTCTGCTGCTCATGTCAAGTGCAAAATGTGAAGAAAAAGCAGTGGATTTTGAGAGACAGGGATGGCAAATGGGATATTGATGAATGCACTTGGATTAGAATCAGATAAAGCTTATGAATCTTTTTTCTGATCACAGGAGGACAACGTTCTCTTGGCTGGGCAAAAACAAACTTAGCTTTTAAAATAATAGCAATTACAAAATTTCATTGCTAAAGATACCAACATGGCTAGGGCACTTGTTATTTCAGTAGTTTTCAAATCTCTCTGAGAAATGTTTTCAAGCCAAACAAATGGGTTAGACCAAGGCTTTTCAACCAGTGATACGGGTACCACCTGTGGTACATTGGCACCTGGCAGGTGGTACGCGACCATCCTAGAAAAGTGGTGGGGGGAGGGGAATGAGTTGAACCAGTGGCAGCACCGCACAAGCCTGAGCGAGAGATGGCTGGAGTTGCAGGGCTGTCAGCTCAGCGGAAGTGCCAGGATCAGCGCTTCTTGGGGCTGTCAGGGCTCAGTGGAAGTGCCAGGATTAGCGCCAGGCTCCAGCTGGAGCTTGGCGCTGATCCTGGTGCTTCTGCTGAGCCCAGAAGAAGCGCCAATCAGTTGGAATGTTGCAGCATCTCCAGGGTCTTGTAATTTACATTCAGATGCTTGGCAACTGATTCATATTTATGACGGTCACAGTGTCCCAGGATCATGTGAAGTGACCAAAACCTGCTGCAACCACCCAGCAGACGGGGGAATAAAAACCAAACACCCCCCACCCCACCCCCGCTGCCAATCCTCAACAGAAATGCTCACAACAATGAAAACCTCGGACAGGAGGAAGAGCGCCGCTGGGTGGGCAGGCAGGTGTCTTGCTCGGCTGTGGCTTGGGGGGCACTTTTTTCAGTGCCATTGTAACTTCGAACAGTCACTAAGCGAACTGTTGTAAGNTCCAACTTATCCCAACCTAGTGTACTCCAGATGTATTGAGCTACAATTTGGTGTACCGTTTGAAGGGTGCCAGATTGGGGAATATTTTTATATATTTAGTCCCATTTTTTTTCAAGTAGGTCCTTCCTTCATCTAACTTTTGAAGATGAGTGGAATGGCACAAATGTACACTGAGTCATACCTGTGCACATTTACTGAGAAATAATTTGCTTGGAGCAGGGTTTCCACCTGAATGAATGTGCATAGCACTGGAGGGTGAATCCAGAAGAATGCTTCTTACTTAATAGACTTGATCATTGGCCATCCACATTTGCCTGAATCAACAGCTACCCATGTTTGTTTGAAACTCTGCTGCTCATGTCAAGTGCAAAATGTGAAGAAAAAGCAGTGGATTTTGAGAGACAGGGATGGCAAATAGGATATTGATGGATGCACCTGGATTGGAACCAGATAAAGCTTATACATCTTTGTTCTGATCACAGGAGGACAACATTCTCTTGGCTGGGCAAGAACAAACTTAGCTTTTAAAATAATAGCAATTTCAAAATTTCATTGCTTAAGATACCAACATGGCTAGGGCACTTGTTATTTCAGTAGTTTTCAAATCTCTCTGAGAAATGTTTTCAAGCCAAACAAATGGGTTAGACCAAGGCTTTTCAACCAATGGTACGGGTACCACCTGTGGTACATTGGCACCTGGCAGGTGATATGCAACCATCCTAGAAAAGTGGGGGGGAGGGGAATGAGTTGAACCGGTGGCAGCACCGCACAAGCCTGAGCGAGAGATGGCTGGAGTTGCAGGGCTGTCAGGGCTCAGCGGAAGTGGCAGGATCAGCGCTTCTTCGGGGCTGTCAGGCCTCAGTGGAAGTGCCAGGATTAGTGCCAGGCTCCAGCTGGAGCTCGGCGCTGATCCTGGTGCTTCTGCTGAGCCCAGAAGAAGCGCCAATCAGTTGGAATGTTGCAGCATCTCCAGGGTCTTGTAATTTACATTCAGATGCTTGGCAACTGATTCATATTTATGACGGTCACAGTGTCCCAGGGTCATGTGAAGTGACCAAAACCTGCTGCCACCACCCAGCAGACGGAGGGGAATAAAAACCAAACACCCCCCACCCCACCCCCGCTGCCAATCCTCAACAGAAATGCTCACAACAATGAAAACCTCGGACAGGAGGAAGAGTGCCGCTGGGTGGGCAGGCAGGTGTCTTGCTTGGCTGTGGCTTGGGGGGCACTTTTTTCAGTGCCATTGTAACTTCAAACAGTCACTAAGCGAACTGTTGTAAGTCGAGGACTATCTGTACTTCATTACTTTTTTCCTTTTTTTTTTTTTTTGGTCATCAAGTTTTTGACACCTTGCTAGGCGACTGGTGGTACTCGGATATTGCCATATCCTAAAAGTGGTACAATGGGTGAAAAGGTTGAAAAGCCCTGGGTTAGACATATCAACTAATTTATCAAAGAACCTGTCACATACTGCAGAAATTTCTGGAATGTACTGTAGGTGCACAGAATGGATCTATATTCTCTTGGGTTGTTGCATATACTAAATGTATCCTAGAATGTCCCACTGGATTATTGATTGAGTAGAGACTTGGAACAGGAGAACTGTCCTTCTAACTTTCAACGTGGGTTGCCTTCACCTGGGCCTTATCCTTTCAGCCACTCTGACCGAAGGAATGCTTTTTATCTTTTCCTCACTTCTTACTATGGATCTGTGAAATGTATGAGGAGTCTAGTTTCTAATAAAACACTCAGATGGGTGAACTGAAGGAAATAGAGATTCCTCTATAGCAGGGGTGTCAAACTGTCGGCCTATGGGCCAGATGCATCATAGCGAAACCGCGCCCACCCCATTGCCGGCAATGGCAAAAAAAGTCGCGATACGTTGCGACACGTCACGTGACATTGCGAGTTTGATACCCCTGCACTATAGTTTTTCACATAGTATCTGTAACCAAACAACAACACAAAAGAAAGGTAATTTATTGTTTTTCACAAAAAGCCACTTCCCAAGTAGAGTTTGATTATGAGCCACTTCCCAAGTAGAATTATGATTATTTCTCCTAGTGGTCCTAAATGGGCTTTTCCCACCTCCCCTGGCAGCTGTACTGTACTTCCTATCTCACATTTGGTGACTTACTGACTTAGTACAGTACAGTACAGTTAAAAATGATGATTAAAAACTTCTCATGAGTCAAGACCCCCTATTTAGTGCAGAAGTCACTGAGAAAGTAGAAGCCTTGTTTGAATACACCTCTGTCTACCTATCGGGCTCAAAGAAAGGCAGTTACAATACTGCAAGCATGCTAATTATACAGTACCCAGAGAAGCAAGAATAACATAGAATTGTCAGTGACCTTGCAACAGGGTTAGATGACTCAGAAGGGAGCATAGATGTAGATCCAAAATTATACCTCTCAGCATTGATTCCGGCTAATACCTTTATTAGTTTCTTGCTTTCTAAGGTTGGATAAATGCACAATGAAACATTTTGCATCTTTACCTAGAAGTTAACCCGATTATTATCACTCCTAGAGAATTATGCACAAGATTACAGTATGACATTAGGATCGCCAAAATATGAAGTATTGCTTGTTCAAAACATTGCAATAAAACAATCCATCAAAACAATAAGAGAACACAAGTCAAGCTAATAATAGCAACAACTATTGATTGATAATTCTTCTTTTTTTTGGTGCCTTTGAGTCTAGGCCAAGGTTGCCTACTCCTGGTCTAGGCACTAGCAACTGCCTAGACTAGTGCAGTTTTCTTGGCAAGGTTTCCCAGAAGTGGTTTGCCATTGCTTCTTTCCTAGGCTGAGAGAGAGTAACTAGCCCAAGGTCACTCAGCTGACTTCATGCCTTAGGTGGGACTAGAATTCATAGTCCCCTAGTTTCTAGCCTGATGCCTTAACCACTATACAAGGTTGCCTCTCTAATAATTCTTTGGTGTTGTTAATTGAGCATTGCTAATGACATAACTGATCTTTGAAGAAACCTTCAGCATTTTTAACAATAAATAATGAGTGTTGCTTGTTCTACAGGAAGTATTGAACAGTGTGTTACAATATAGAAGACAGAATACTATCCCTTTAGTTTCCTTGAACAGTCTCTGGAATATATTTAGGTTTCAAAATTCAGTATAAATGAAGTCTATATTACAACCTGTGAAAACCTCTATGAAAGCGGATGATTATGTGACTTAAGTCTGCCTGGGTATTTTTTCACATGTGACCTCTCTTGTGCAGTATGTTATGTATGTTCTAAAATCAGTGAAAATGTGTAAATCATAGCTTTCTCGGTGCATTGGAAAACAAAAGAAGCTTGATGGGGAGATATTGTGTGAGGCATGAGGCATATTAATTGCTTTTAAAAAACAAAATAAAAGCTGTGCTTTAACCATTTAGTAACTGACATTGTGGGAGGGAACTTTTTTTTATTTGTGATTGTTTAGCTCAGTGTTTCTCAACCTTGACAATTTTAAGGCATGTGGACTTCAACTTCCAGAATTCCACAGCCAGCAATGCTGGCTGTGGAATTCTGGGAGTTGAAGTCCACATGCCTTAAAATTGTCAAGGTTGAGAAACACTGGAGCTTGTAGCTTTCCTATTCCATTCCAGTTTCACTTGATTATTTCCCATAAATTTTCCTGCAGGGAGATGCACAATTGGTTGTGAATTGGTCGTTTCTATTGTGCTTAAAAACCATAATCTATTAATTGCTGCTAAATCAGACATCTTATGTCCAGTTACTTAATATTTTGTTATCAGGCCTCTATTTGCCTAAAGTGTTTAACTATGATCAACATAAAGGGATGGACTAAATTTTCAGAATTACAGAAACACCACAGAGTATGCCTTTATCTAACCGTTTTGGATTGTTAGATTTTAGATTCCACACAGGAAGGCTTTTCCAAGTTGAAATGTGGTATCCTGGGAAAAAGGATATAGGATGGCCAAATATTGAAATGGAAAGAAAAATGGAAGAAAACAGGATGCTAAATACTGTAGAAACAGGGAGAGAGAAAAACCTTCTATGGGAAAGGAGACAATTGTGGGGACCTTGTACTAGCACTGATGATGTTACCTAGTTTGGTAACATCAAACTCTTATCTACAAATATTCTCTTCTGAAGGAGAGAATAAACAGCAAAGAGGAAAAAGAATCTTCAGAAGAGGAAATATTAAATGTTGTGGAAGAGAAATTATCTCTTGGCAGTGCAAATTTGTTTATCATAGGATAGACTTTAAGTGAGAATATGCACTTTTCAAGTGATGAGTTTATTTGAGGCCAATAAAGAGGATTCTTGCACCACCTAGTTTGAATCCATTATGAATGTGGACTATTCAGCATTTTACAATCTGAAAATTATTTGAGCTATAAGATTGTCAAAAGTCATTCCAGCTTTTTAAATTTTGGTTCTTTTATACTTTTACTAATGATGGCATATTTTTTCCCTAGGTCTTATTTGGTACTGCTGATGGTCAAGTTATTGTTATGGATTGCCATGGCCGAATGCTGGCACATGTTCTTCTTCATGAGTCCGATGGCATCCTTAGTATGTCCTGGAATTACCCAAGTTTCTTGGTGGAAGACAGTAGCGAGAGTGATACAGATTCAGATGATTATTCCCCACCACAAGGTCACTTTTTTTTCAGTTCAGTGTTTGTATGTTTTTTTTCTGCTTCTCACTGAGATGGTAAAACAATGTATTGAGTGCTCCAATATGTATATATTTATTTTCACATCCTTGCTGGAGTATTCTCCAAATGCATCTCCTCTAAGGAATTTTGTACTGCAAGAATTGTTTAATTTTAAGTTGCCAATGACGCTAAATTACCATTACATTCTGTATGACTCATCTACCTCTTAGTTGCATATTGTAATGCATTTCTGATTATACAGTGGTATCTTATAGATCAGTCTTCTCCACTTTAGTGCCCTCCAAATGTATTGGGACTGCAGTATGCTGGAAATGCTGGAAATTGTGTTTCAACCCTACCAGGAAAGTCCCAGGTTCAGGAAGATTTATAAATTAATAGTATCTTCTCAAATTTTGCATGTTTGCTTTATCTCTTTCCCCTCCCATGCCTTCTGCAGACATATATACCAATACTTTTTGCACTCTGGCTTCAATTATAATCCATGGTGACATAGTCAGAGATCAACAAAGCCGAAAAAAGAGATACTGTATAGACCTCTGATTTATTTTCAGGTGTCAACACATCTTCATAACAAGTGAAAAGGTTTCCAAATTCTGTAGAACTCCTTAAGTATATTAAATCAGAAATGCATAAACTATGGAATTTGCTTTCATAAGTAATTGTCATTGCCACTAATTTATATGAGTTTAAGGGTGAATAAAATAAACTTGGAGAAGATCAGATTATCAATACTCACTAACTGGAATCATACTACTTTGATTCCACCAGGATCAAAGGCTATATGCTGCTGAATATCGGTTACTGAGATATAACATGTAGAGAGTTATTCTTGTTTTTATATTTTTTTATGAAATTCTTACTTATAGTTCACATATCTTCTTATACTTTAATATAGTAATATTTTGGCAATCTGATTCCTCTTCTAAATAACTCTAGTGATATAAAAACATTTTTGCATTATTTTTCAAACAAGAGCATTAAATGTTTAAGACATCTGCAAACAGAATGGCATAATTTGTATATTAACTAGATTTTTACATTTCTTCCACATCATTGCTGAGGATTGTATTTGCACATTGTACATTGCGTGCATACTTTGCTTAATTAGGCACATTTTCCAGTCAAAAGCACAAACCTAAGGAATTGTTTGTCTGAAGCTATTGAACAGCTAGATTAACTCACATTATCAGTTCTTGCACGATTTTCTATTCTCAGAACCAAGACACAAAGACAATAAGCATGAATTTCAAAAGGGCAAGTACTTTACTTATTTCAAAAGCTAATCTGAAGCTTGACTGCTATTAATTACCAGATTTCTTGTTTATCAAAAAGGAAGTAGAAAGAGATAATCTCTAGCTACCAGCCTTCCTTAGACTATTCCAACTTAGTTTCAACCAGGGAAGCAATTAAAGCTGGAGTACGTGCAGCCACTGAAGCCATGGGTGTGGTCTCAGAATCCTAGCAAAAATTAATGAATAGCAAAATTTAGTCATTTTTTAATGTGAGGGTAGGATGATATCATTAGATAGGTGGAAACAATTGTTAGATTCTGCCCCAACTACATGGTTGGTCTTAGCTGTGCTTAAGTTGTGACGTTCTTATCCTGAGAAAAATAGCATATTCCTCAGTTTAAAACAGTTTCTTACTCTTCCTGATATATTTATTTTAGAGGTATCCCAAAGACGATCTTCCAACATCTGTGGGACCTTTCTGAAATCAAAGTTTCTTGAGTGAATAATCCCCAGATTACTTTATATTATGTCCCTTCAAGCTAAGAAGCTATGAGAGGCTATTTTAAGTAATTGCCTTTCAGTACTCAGAATTTTGAAGGGTGTTATATTTTAGCCTGAACCCCTGTCTCTCACCACTATAATAAACATATCAATTGCATCCTGGTTATATGAATTGAAAAAGGAGTTGATTGAAACCAAATTTAAAAGATGGCCCTTAGAACCGTGCACTTTTTAGAAGAGGTCTACTGAAGTGACTTGGCAAAATAGTATCTCATTTCTCTTGAGGGGAGGGGAACAAATGCTTCACTTCTGTAAGTAACACAGGCTTCCATTATGAGTTCAGAAGCCTTGTTAGCAAAACAAAGTGGCCAATCAAGACAGATCCACTCCACCTCCATGAACTGTCAAGCTGAAAGGACTCCTTTCTGTAAATCAAGGTGCCTTATTTTGCCCATGCCTTATCACAGGGGTAGTCAACCTTGGCTCTTTTATGACTCGTGGACTTCAACTCCCAGAATTCCTGAGCCAGCTTAGCTGGCTCAGGAATTCTGGGAGTTGAAGTCCACGAGTCATAAAAGAGCCAAGGTTGACTACCTCTGCCTTATCAAGTAAAAGAAAACAATTTCTCTCCCAAGGTCAAAGAGAGAAAGCAAAATAAAAAAAAATCCCAAGGATTTAGTTTTCATTTTGAGCATGCAAACTCCAATATTTATGACATCGCCAGATGAACCTATGAAAACAGGCTTCTGCTCCCAACTTTGTTGTTTCCCTTCATTGGAAAACTTCTGATTTATAATAAATTAGGACAGCAGGTTCATTCTGGGATTGCTTTACAGTGCCATTCGCCTGCTGTAGAAGAATAAAGCTGGCAAGTGTGTAAATGATGCTGAGTCAGTCAGCAGTGGGTGAACCTGGTTCAAGCCTACTTCTATTGATTATGCTAACATGACACATTCTTATGAAGCCTTGTGTGTTCCATTGATCTGGTTTTGACTCACACAGAAGAGTAGGAGTAGGTTGCTTGAATTAGATCCATAGAACAGTGCCAGTTATATGATGCTGGGTTTCAGATCTCCACAACTTAGCAGAATACATCTAGAGTGATGTTTGAAGTCCTGTCAGGACTTTAATGGGGAACTAGAAATCTGGTTTCAACATCTGTTTTTCTTTCTAATTTACCTTGCAGATGGTCCAGCGGTATATCCAGTCCTCGTTCAGAACACCAAACAGCTTCTCACTGTCAGCTTCACATCAGGAGATATTAGCTTAATGAATAACTATGATGACTTATCTCCTACCATCATCCGCTCAGGGTTAAAAGGTACAAAAGGGAAGCTTCTTGTTTGCTTTAATTTTGATTGCTTTGACAGCATCTGTCCCATGAAGCTCAGCAGCTGTCTGCATATTTTCTGCTACCGGTAGTGACACCTACCTGTCAAAAGGATAACTTAACAAAGGGATTCTTTTTCAAATAAAATGGTTGCTAGTTTTGTTATTGTTTGTACCCCCACAGTCTGTTGGCTCAATATCCTGGACTCAGCTCAGTTATTCAGACTCTCAAAATCTTTGACTCTATTTCCCTCACACTATCGAAAGTTGTTAACAAAGGAAATTTTAAAGTGTTAGAAGTGGGAAATATGCAACTGGAGTATACTCAAAATTAGCTGTTTTAATTAACTGTAACTAAGATGAAGTCAAATTTATATCTTTTCCATGATCCTTTTTCTCCATGCTAACATAAGGTCACAATATGGGGGTGGCCTAGCCTGATTCATGAACCCAACTATTGTAGTTTGCCAACCATGACTTATGAATTTGCGTGATGACTAAATGCAGCTTTTCTGTCAAGTGAAATACTTTGAAAATTGTCCCACCGCGGTTGAAAGGCTTGCCCCAACATGTAGGATGAAACAGGAAGAACAATTAGGGAGGATGGACTGTTACTGTTATTTTCATAATGTTCATTCATATGCTGCTTTGCTTATTTCTTAATTAGAGGCAACCCTATTAAACATTCCTGTGGGGAAGAAGGGTCTAAGATAAATGTATGTACCTATGAGAGGAACTGTTTGCTAAGTTTCTGCTGTTTTGTGGCTTTAGATGTAGTGGCTCAGTGGTGCACGCAAGGAGACTTGCTGGCTGTAGCAGGCATGGAAAAACTAAGCCAACTAGCTGAACTTAACGCTGCTTCTTTTCTGAAAAGTGCACTCGTCAAGTTCTACAATATTCATGGAGAACACATCTACACTCTGGAGACCCCTGTACAAGTAAGAGTTATGCTGAAGAGCATGGAATCAGGAAGGTTAAAAAAAAACCAAGACATATATTCTCATATAGAAAAATTGCTAGCATGGTAGTACAGATAGGAATGAATTTATACAGAATCACTGTGACTTATTTAACTATTGTTAATAAAACAGTGGAGAAAAGATTGAAATGATTAGAAGGCTTCCAGTAGTGGGCTAATATGCTATCCGAGCAACTGAAGATTGGTACAGTTAGGAGTAATAGAATCCTAGAAAGACATAGACACTTGAACATGCATCTCAGGCCTGAGTCATGTGGAAAGACATGTGGACAATAAAATACATCCTATTGAAAAATCTTTAAAATATGATTGATTGATACAGAAAAGTCTTAACAATTTTTTTTCCCCCACACAGCGTCCCATAATCTCAATTTGCTGGGGTCATAGAGACTCACGTCTGCTCATGGCTTCTGGCCCTGCCCTGTATGTTGTCCGAATAGAGCATCGAGTGTCCAGTTTACAGCTTCTGTGCCAACAAACAATTGCCAGCTCTTTGCGGGATGACAAAGATATCAGTAAATTAACCCTCCCTCCTCGGCTTTGTTCATATCTAACTACTGCCTTTACACCAACAATCAAGGTAAACAAATGGTGGGGTGATAAACCTGTCAAAATTAGTATGTGGGGTCCTTGGTGCATTCTGAGCTGGGTTGTTTTCTTGCATATGTTTCAATACCTACGTCTAGGTAACATCATCAGTACTATGGTGTGTGTATAGTATAGTATGGAACGGAAGTATAGTATGGAGTGGAAGATAGGTAAAGCTTAAACTATAGAAGGAGCTGACATTAAAAAATGAAGTACAGAATTACATTGTAAATTAAGGCAGCAATATTTGACAACACTGGTGGATGACCTACAACCTGTATGCATTTTCCAAGCGGCCATATTTTGACGCTCAGAGCACTCCTGCAATAAGGGGAATCTAATTTTTTTTACCTGTTTGCATGTCGGGGAAGGTTTTAAGAAATAATAACCCAGATCAAACTAATTTTTTCCCCATGGTGTTCAAGTGGCAAGCAAAACTATTTTATGGCTTGAATGAAGACATTGGTTCTACCCCTTAAATGCCCTTTCCCGCCCAAAAAACAGACCAGAAAGTTGGTGTCCCTGTTATGCAGATATTATGATATCACTGGCCATGATTAAATGCCACTTCTCTCCCCTGCCTTTACTTGAGAGAAATTTCCATGAATTCATTGGCCTAGGTTCGAAGTCTCATAAGAAGAAATCAAAGCAATGTTTAGTTCAATAACCTGCATAAACATTAATGTAGTTCATCTCCTAGCTGAATCATAAAACCTTTGTGCTTGGTTTTTACAGGAACTACTTTAAAAAACTCCACTTATCTAACATCACTGTTGCTTATTACACTTATGCATACAACAAAGCTTTCATTACAACTGAATAAGGCCAAATGCTTAATCATATTAGTCTGAAGTATGTGCAAAAATCAGAGTAACATTGAGCAGATCTTCTTGGAAGATAGAAAGGTGGTGGGAGAATGGCTGGTATGACTTGTTTTTTTTATTCTACATTTAATCCAGCCTCCTATCCCAGACCCTAACAACATGCGAGATTTTGTTAGCTACCCAACATCTGGCAATGAAAGGCTTCACTGTACAATGAAGCGGACAGAAGATGACCCGGAAGTTGGAGGTCCTTGCTATACATTGTATTTAGAATATTTAGGTGGTCTGGTGCCTATCTTGAAAGGACGTCGAATTAGTAAACTCAGGCCTGAGTTTGTCATCATGGATCCTAAGACAGATGGAAAAGCAGGTAAAGAGTTTTGAGTTTGCTGTTTTTATATTCCAGTTCTATTTGATGTGCGATGTTGTGCATGGAAATAGGATAGGACAGGACAGGACAGGACAGGACAGGACAGGATAGGATAGGATAGGATAGGATAGGATAGGATAGGATAGGATAGAAACATTATTTGACCAAATGTAATTAGACACACAAGGAATTATTACAGTAGAGTAATGATAATCACAATAGTGATACCGATAAGAGAAAGTAGTAAAGAAGATGAGAAGGATAATAATAATATAGTCACACCACATGGGAAAATATAAGATAGTACTGTGGGATTTAGGTGCTCAGCAGAGTATTATGCAAATATCATGTATTGTATTAGAAATAGCTCGTTTTAAGATGCACAGAAGTTCTACAGCGGGTCTGCTATTGTCTAGTACCAATGTGCCTTAAACTTCATATCTTGTTCATGGAACAAATCATGAGAATGTCATACAGAAATTTTTCTTCTGCTAATCCATAAAACTAGTTCATCTGCTTAAGAATAGTCATGCTATTTATTTCCTCTATCAGCTATTTTAAATTAACTTAAGATAATTGTTATACTTCCATTTGTCTTTTAAATTGTAGTCTATTATAATATTCTATGACCTAACAGAAGGGGCAAGGGCATATCACTAACTGCTCAAAGCATTTTTTTTTCAATTCTGAAGAGACACTTGCCAATTCAGATAACTGAACACTATTTGCTTGATTTCAGAGTGTTCCATATGGCACTTATATAGCAGCTACTACTTATAGAATAAGCTAGAGATGACTGAGTTATAATTGTGATCTGATCTGTGAATGCTTCTGTCTTCCTTTTCTCCCCTTTTATATAATAGATGAAGTCTATGGTAACAGCTTGATTTCCACCATGATTGATAGCTGCAATTGCTCTGATTCCAGCGATATTGAACTGAGTGATGACTGGGCTGGGAAAAAATCTCCCAAAATCACTCGTGCTAGTAAATCACCCAAACTTCCCAGGTATTCTTTCTCCCAGCTGTATATGAATTTTATGTATATGTATATGAATATATTATTCTTATTCATGTGCATACATATCCATCTGTATATGTATTATTATGTATATGAATATGCAAAGATGGTGTCCTATAAAATTAGAATAAAAAGTAATATTCCTAGGACATAAGAAACTGGCCATTTAAAAAATGCTGGGTTGTTGTTGTTGTTTCATATAAAGCTTGCTAAGAACCTTAGAATTCTTTTCTGTGATTAATTAAGAGAGTAAAATAGCCATGATTCCCAGGTTTGTTATCAAACATTCATTAAATCAGTGCCAAGCCTTGCATAAAGTGAATACCAATTTTTTCTCTCTCTCTGATGTTGAACCATTTCAGATGCTTGATAAAACATAAAATGTGACAAGGGACTTGGGAAGTTTTCTGTTCTTTTTCAGACACATTTCTTTTCTTTTTCTTCCCTTGCTCTTAATTTGACAGATTGATTGCCCACAGTTCATCGTCACTGCCAAGAGAATTTTTATTTCGCTGTTGGTTCCATTCTGTTCCTTGAATAATTTTCTGCCGTGAGGAATTTTTCCCCTCTCTGTTTACTGAGCTTTATAGTTTTGTTGATCTCTATTGGGCTGAACTGAGTGGTTCTTTGATTGGTTCTGGATCAATTATTTTGAAAAGGGCATTATCCTTCTTGAACATTCAGTATTTCAGCCATAAAGTTCCTGTTACAGAACACTACCCTACCTAAACCTCTCCTAACCTCTGTTGACCTGAGAATAGTTTTCACAGAGTATTAAGTCTGATGCTCATGTTTGATATGTAGACATAAAACTGTTCTGCGTTTGAACCTGAATGTTACCCAGCAAAGAAAAAAAAATACTGTTACACTAAAACTATTTTTTTCACATGAAAATCTCCTGCTAAAGCCAGTAGCACATAATGCAGATTAGCTAGTCCCTTAGGATGTCTATAAGTAACCTTCCTCCAATTCTTAACTCCATCCTGAACGCACCCATATGTGTATAGAAGCATGTGCACAACTTTTTTTTTAACCAGAAAAATAAAATAACTGCATTTTTGCTTCCAGCAGCACAAGTAATGCCCTTTTTTTTTTAGTCTGAGAGGAACTGGGAAGTTTTGTCATTTTCCCATTTTTTCACTCCCTATGGTTTTTCTTTTGTTGAAAGCAGTGAAAATGCACTGATTTTCAATCCCTCGTGCCGATAGAAAATATGAATCCATGCTTGTATCCATTTGCTGGGAGAAAGGAAAGGAGAAAAGAGGAATTTTGTTCTTCCTTTGCTCCCAGAGACAACTGTTCCTTGTATCTTGCTGATCCTATTAGCAGGCCATAGATCAGCATACTACTGTGTTGTAAAGAGACAGAGCGTATCTATTTGTGCATAAGTAACTTCTGAAATTTTGTTTACAGAATTAATATAGAAGCTCGCAAATCTCCAAAGTTGTCACGAGCTGCTCAGGAGATATCACGATCTCCCAGATTGCCAATAAGGAAGCCCTCCATTGGATCACCTAGCTTAACTCGTAGAGAATTTCCTTTGGAAGACATCACTCAGGTATTTCACAGCTTTTTATTACTCACCAGCATTATATCAGCCCAGAGTCCACTGGAGTTGGGTAGCCAATAAATTAAAATGTTCCTCAAGAATGCTTAAGATTATGGACTAGAAACAGGGAGACTGAAGTTCTATCTTTTCTTAAACATGGATGCTGGTTGGATGACTTTGGGCCAATCACACTTTCTCTGTCCTAGACATGGAAGTCTAAAAGCATCTATCAATCAGCTCAATCTGGGCTAATATGATAAATTAGTCAATAACCTTCCATGAAGAACCTGCATTCCCATAAAAATGTTCCTTGTTTTGAGCTAGGTCATAGCAGCTGAAATTTCTATTTAGATAATGGTTCTAATCTGATATCTGATCTAAAATGACTTCACCTTCAATTTAAATAGTGGCCCCATTTACAGTCTGGAAATAATAATTCCAATCAGTCTTATAGGACTGATTGAAATAATTAAAACAATTAACAACTGAAAGGCCACACACAACCAAGCGCCACATAAATACTATGCATAAAACAACCCAGTGCACACATTTTGGAGAGAGAGAAGTTCCCTGAAGATGGGCTCCAGTACAAGTCCGAAAGCTTGGAAGAATAAATCCCTGATCCCAGTGACTGACTCAGATTGGATCCTGATTAAAATAATGTTTATAAATGCTCTAAAATTATTTTTATAATTTTTTTTTCCATATCTTTTCATTGCAGCACAATTACCTTGCTCAGGTCACATCAAATATCTGGGGAACCAAATTTAAAATTGTAGGCTTGGCTGCATTCCTACCAACCAATCTCGGTGCAGGTAAAATTTAGTCTTGAACTTTTCCTTCATTTCAGTTTCTTTCTAACCATACAGGTTATTGTTGTTGTTTTAGAAAAAAACAGACACTTTTTTTCAGAAATAGTAAAAGTCTAGCTAATGGAACAGGCAACAAAAACATTTTAGAATAGAAGTGTCTGGTTGCATTAAAAATTGATAATATATTGTCCAGATTTACTCAGGGATTTGTCATGTTCTGTCTTGTCTATGGTTTGATGCCAGTTGCTATATCTTGGCAGGAAGGGATAATTCCCATAATCACATGTTAGGTGATGAAGTTACTATGAACAGATTTTCACTCTAGTTATTTGGGGAGATGACTAGCCTTGTGAATGATCTGAAATGATTCTTCAAAATCTCTAAAGGCTTCTGAGTGACACGTCAGTTCCTGTTGCATTATTCACAGGACCGCTTCACCCAAATCAGAAGTGTAGTGATTGTTAATTTATTGAGTCTCTGTATGGCCTGAAATTTCCAATATTTTTTTTTCATCTTTGGATTTTTGGTTTTTATTTCCTCACTCTTTTGGCATCCTTTCTGCAGTTATCTATAAAACCAGCTTGTTGCATCTTCAGCCAAGGCAAATGACCATTTATCTCCCAGAAGTGCGGAAGATTTCCACTGATTATATCAACCTACCTGTTTTCAATCCCAATGTTTTTAGTGAAGATGAAGATGATTTGCCAGGTGAGATTGAACTTGAATATTTACTTCCTTTCCAGAGTACACAAACTGTGGTTCTGCTGGAAATAAAGAGCTTGGGATACACGATTCTATTAACGTGATTTAAAGCATGTATAAAGACATTGTGAGCACACTCCTTGCTTTGGAGTTTGAAACCAGGCCATGGACTCCAAAACTGATAATCTATTTCAGTGCTTCCATCAGGGACTTAACAGATCCTAAGAAGCCTTTACTGAATCCTGACCAGTGCAGATAATTCCTCCCACTGTCAACCACCTGCTTTATGTTGCTTATTGGGCTGAGAGATCTGATGAAGGCTGAGCGAGGGAAGAGCCTCAGGAACTGGATGATGTTGTACAAGGCATCTATCAATTATGGAATTTGATAGAATTTGGATTCTTGGCAGTGTCCAAGACTTTGTCAGTTCTTTCTAGTTTGTCTTGCCAAGATCCTATAAGAAATGTAAAGCTGGAAATATATTCGATAGTGTGGTGGAGCTTCTAGTTCTTATAATGTTCTGAAGAATAACATTAAGAACTAACCCAAGAGGGCAAAGAAAGGTTGGCAGGCTATACATGTAAACAAAGTATAATTAATCTATGTATTATGTGGGTATGCTGTTAATTAATTGACTTAGTTATTATTTATGCAGGAACTGGATTCCGATGAGATCCAACCATTGCTAATTAGGACTTTTGGGAACTTAACAGCGATTTTGGGAATTTAATCATCACCACTAGGATTACATCATTTACGAATTTGCGAATTTTCTGAGGCTAAGTTTTAATATGGCACAAAGATTTGCAATAACAATTACTCAGACCTGGAAAAGATAGTAGCATTTCTTAATGATAAAATCAATATGCCTTGATTGAATACAACTCTTGCCAAATTATCCGGAGATTAAGCAACAACAATATTGCCAGGAAATTTTAGATTTTTGTGTGTTCGTCTTATTTTTCCATGTCCACGTTTTAGGAAGACAGATGAAATCTTGCTTTTATAGAAAAATATTTACATGCTGTGTAAATTGGATACCCCATCATTTCAGGTTATTGAAGACCTTATCAAAATGCAACTGAAACTAGGAAGAAAACAAATCAGTATTTTGTTTTTTCAAATTATGTTCAAGTGTCTTTAATGGTAGCATTTTTTCACGTCTAGTACAATTTTATTTTTTAAAGATTGTTGAGATTAAAGTGGTGGATAGGTGCATTTGCAGTCTTGAGGTTATATTATTATTGTGTTTTCATAATTGCTTGGCTCTAATAAAATAAATTACAATTTATTATATGACTACTCACTTTACCAAATTTACATCAAAGAGCCTAATTTTATCTAAACCAGGGGTTCTCAACCTTGGCAACTTTAAGACTTGTGGACTTCAACTCCCAGAATTCCTCAGCCAGCTTTGCTGGCTGAGGAATTCTGGGAGTTGAAGTCCACAAGTCTTAAAGTTGCCAAGGTTGAGAACCCCTGATTCTAAACAGACTGTCTGGCTTCACACCTGCCTGATCTGTAAATCTCAGCTCTTTAGTCACGTAAGCATTTATTCAAGAATTGGATTATTTGGCAGATGGCTCACAAACATGACTTAGTTTCTTTATTAGGTAAATGGAAGCCTTAAACACATAGATTTCTCCACAGCAGCTCATAGAAATCAAAGCCTTTATGGATGTCTGTGCTCCAAGGTTTGAATACTAGAAAGTTTGTTCCTATGTTTATGAGTTGTTAAATACTTAGCCATTCTTTTGATCGCTTTGGGAAGAAGGTATATTGTGTTTGATTGACATAATGGTTCGCTGCAGCCTGGAAACTACTCATTTCTAGTCAGATTCTTCATTCTTTTCACACTATAAAAGAGCAGTAGGTGATTGTTAATAAGGATTTATTTATATTCAATTCTAGCCTTCTCCTTTGGGCAAATTCACATTATCCTTTTTTCTAACTAAGCAGTTAGTTAGCACCAAGGTTTAACAGAATTTCAGCCAACCAAGATTCCCTTTAGACCAGGATATTTGTTGTGATTTGGGGTAAATATGCTTTGCAGGAAGAATGTAAAGCATATTTGCCGGCTATTTGATTTGCCTCTCATGACAAGATGTTAATATTACACAGATGCATTCATTTGAGTAACAATGTAAATTCAATGGTGGAGTAAATCAAAGTATTTGCTAAGTGGTAGATTAACAAAATGAATTCTAGAGATGACAAGGATAGGACAATCTGTAAACCATACTATAAATCTGATATTATAAGTCTAATATATTTATTGAAAATAAATACTTCAATATCATAATCTGATACTATCTGTTTATATGACAGTGACTGGAGCATCAGGAGTTCCTGAGAATAATCCACCTTGCACCGTAAACATCCCAATTGCTCCTATTCACAGTTCAGCACAAGCAATGTCACCAACTCAGAGCATAGGGTTGGTGCAGTCTTTGCTAGCTAATCAGAATGTGCAACTGGATGTCCTTGCAAATCAGACAACAGCTGTGGCAACAGCAGACCACATGGCTGATAATGCAGTCCATTATTCAGTCCCAAGCAGGTACTCTAGCCCAGGCCAAGTGATCTTTGGAGGAGTAGAAATGGGACGTATCCTCCAGGTCCCTCCTCAGTTACCCTTGCCACCCCAGAATGCCATCCAGATGGCAATTGTGGACCACAGAGATGGGGACAGAGACCACGAACACTTCCAAAAAGCTAAGGCTTTGCGTCCCATTCCCCAGGTGGCTGAAGGAGACCCAGCTGTCTTCAGCACTGCCCAAGAAATTCAACTGAACAAAATAAACCCTCCTCCTCCATATCCCGGAACCATACCTGCGGCTCCTACCACGGCTCCACCACCACCTCCTCCAATACCTCCACAACCTCCTGTAGATCTCTGTTTGAAAAAAGGTGATTTCTCTCTATATTCAGCAGCCCATTACCAGACCCCTCTTGGCTATGAGAGAATCACCACCTTCGACAGCAGTGGCAATGTCGAAGAGGTGTGCCGCCCCCGAACCCGGATGGTGTGTGCCCAGAACACATACACTTTGCCCGGGCCAGGCAGTTCTGCCACTTTACGGATTACTTCATCAGAGAAGAAGATTCAGCAGCCATGTACCAGTGCCACCTTGAACAGGCTCACAGTTCCTCGTTACTCCATTCCAACAGGGGACCCACCCCCTTATCCAGAAATTGCAGCCCAGCTATCTCAAGGCCGGGGTATCATGCAGAGGTTGGACAATAGCATCATCCATGCTACACTGCGGAGAAATAGTAGGGAGGCAGCCCTGAAAATGGCTCAGTTGGTGGACAGCCAGAGGGCCACCTTGCAGTTCCCACTGAAACTGAAGAGCAATGTTGTGGGAGCCCAGTACCAGCAGCGAGTGCCAACTGCCCTGTACACATGCAGCCAGTGTAGCAGCAACACGAACAATGGCACCAGCAACACGAACAATGGAAATGGGAACATCGGTAATATCAACGCAAGCAGTGGCACATCAGGCATCAGCACTATGAGGCCTGATGTAACCACAGGGAGCAGCTCTCAGCACAATTCAGTCATTGCACACTCAGCCAGTACATCACCTTTGGCCTCCCAATCCTCTTACAATTTACTGAACCCACTTGACAATTCTCGGGAGCGGACCGATTACGTAAACTCTGCCTTCATGGAGGATGAGGCTCTTTCTCAACACTGCCCTGTGGAGAAATCAGCACGCCACGTCCCTGTAGCCATGGCAGAACCTAACATTGCTGTAAAAAGGCCACCTCCGTATCAATGGGAACCTATGGTGAGCGAGGAGATATGGGTTCCTCAAGAAAGGATAGCTCATAGTACTTTGCCTAACCCTGGTAAACCCAACCCTCTAGTCATTGGCCAAGCTCAACATTTGGATATATCCCGAGCAACCTTTGTTTCCCCCAAATCTCCAACCAGTCCCACTGCCACTTTCCAGATGAGTTATGGTGTTGGAGCACCATATTTGGGAAATTATAGTATCCCTCCTCCACCACCTCCTCCTCTTCAAGGAATGCAGGTCACCTGTTCTCCCAAAGAAGCTCTGGCCCCATCCCAAATTGTACAACAGGAGCCATCTGTTGTTCTTCAGCCAGCCTATCCCTCAAACCTCTCATACTGCCCTTTGCCTCCCATGTATCCTGGAAATAGTACTTGCTCAAGTTTACAGCTGCCACCAATGGCCTTGCATCCATGGAATTCCTATAGCACATGCCCACCTTCTGTTCAGAGTACCCAGAATGCTCTGCCACCCAAGGCACTTCTTGTGGTGGACAAATCTGTAATGTCTCCACCACCGGTAGAGCCTCCAGGTCATGTGGGCTCTGATGTGATGGCAGAGACAGCAGATAATTTCCAAGAAGTGCTCTCCTTGACTGAAAGTCCCATCCCTCAGAGGACAGACAAGTTTGGGAAGAAGAATCGCAAGCGACTGGATAGCCGGGCAGAGGAAGGAAATATGCAGGCTATCACAGAGGGAAAAGTTAAAAAGGAGGCCAGGACCACATTGACTGACTTCAATTCACTGATAGCCAGCCCAAGATTGGGCAGGGAGAAGAAGAAACTCAAGAGTCAGAAAGATCAGCTGAAGTCAAAAAAACTGAACAAGATGAACGAATTTCAGGACAGCTCAGAAAGTGAGCCCGAATTGTTTATTAGTGGGGATGAACTGATGAATCAGAGCCAAGGCAGTAAAAAGGGATGGAAAACTAAAAGAAACTTGAGGACAGCCAGTGAACTGGATGAATTTAAATGCCGGAAAGCAAATGAGAAGGAAGATGGGCGGCTGGGAAACCAGGGATTTGTGTATGTGATGGCAAATAAACAGCCCTTGTGGAATGAGGCAACCCAAGTCTATCAGCTGGACTTTGGAGGGAGAGTGACTCAAGAATCTGCAAAGAATTTCCAAATTGAGCTGGAAGGAAGACAGGTAAGCTTAACTAAGAGAAAATGGAAAATCTTTTTTGTGTTTGGCCTTAACATATATGTCAGGTGAAGCTTCATATGACTGCTCTTGAACAGTCCACCTGTTTTCTTGCAAAGAATGACACATGCGTGTATACACACACACACACGTAATGCTGATCCTAGAGTGAGATTTGTACCAGAGGTTTAAGTACTGATGGGAATAAGTATGGATCATGGCTAGGGAACCCCTAGCCCTTTAAGATGTAACTGCACCTCAAATTCTGATATCCCTAATGATTAGCCTTGCTAATTAGGGCTACTAAGAATTGTAGTTCAGCAATAATTTCCCACCTTTACATTTCTCTTTGAGATACCTGCAATTTTTTGGTAGCATGGAAGTCTTGAAACTATATAAAAATAAATCTGTTTTGTTCCAGGAAGAGAGTGGAAGGTAAAATAACTCCTTATTTTTTCTGGATATTTTCCGTAATAAAAATTACTAAGCCAAATTACTAGAAACTATTATGGTCTCTGAGTAATACCACAGTGAAATGATAAGCGTTGGGAGGAAGTCCCTGTGACATCTCTTGCCTTATGATATCATCACACAAATGACATGAATCATGTAATTTGCGTCATATCGTATTTATTGATAATACTCAGCCTTTATTGTTGCTCCAAGGAGTAAACCTTTTTTTTCAAGTAAGATTAAAATAACAAAACATCCTCACATACACAAACAGACCCTCATAGGAGCAAGCCAATTACAAAGGAAACTATGATTACTGAGCAATATTAAGCAACCAATCACAACCCATAGTGATGGCTCCCAATTAACACCTTATCTCCTTCCAGGAGTCTCTTTAAAAAGCCAATTGTTTCTAGCTTTTCTATAACTCAACAGGAAACAATATGTGACTGATGCAAATTGCTTAATTTACATAATGAAGACTTGACACCAGTCTGGCATATAAACATTTCTGCTACAAAAAAACAACAGTGTGAACAGAAGTGTTAAGAAGAAAGTGTATGATCTGAAATTCTGACTGTTTTTCCTCACTTACAAGAGCTGCTATATTACATAACTTTAATAATAGAAAGTACATAAACACGGACACAAAGTGGTTTTCAAAATTAAGCCAGTGTTTGTTTGTTTTTCTTAAGAGAGAGAAAAATCATACTCTTTGGCTTTTAAAATGAGTTCCACACTCGGCTGAAATAGAAAACTTCATTATAAATAGCTTCAAGATTTAAAATTAATAACAAATGGCTACAAATAAAATAACTAATACGGTTTGGTTGACTTTGGGCTAATGTGGTATGGGAATCCTGCCTTCTTTCCTCATCCAGATATGTAGAATTCAACTCTCAGAATTCTTAGCAGAAGTCACATTGGCTGGGGAATTTTGGGAACTCAAATCCACCATTTGGAGATTGGTGAACAATATTTTATGATTTACAAGTATGGATGATTTGGGCCAATCACTTTTTCTCAGCCCAATCCATCTCATAGGGTTGCTGTTAGAGGAAAAATAGGAGGAGAAAGAAGGAGTGTTAGAAATGTTTGCTGCTTCAAGTTACTTATAAACTAAGCAAGGCAGGGCAACAATTAAATAAAAATAAAACATAATTCATGATAGAAGGCAAAGGATTGTGAACTTCTTCTCTTCCTTTAATGGCTCACTTTCTATTCATCTGACTTACTTATTCTTTCTCTTTAGCCACTAATTTTATTCTTTTTCTCCTTCCTCCTCTCCCTCAATCTTTCAGGTGATGCAGTTTGGACGGATTGATGGCAATGCCTATATCTTGGACTTTCAATATCCATTTTCAGCGGTGCAGGCTTTTGCTGTAGCTTTGGCTAATGTGACTCAACGTCTGAAATGAAAAGAGAAAAACAGCCTAGAGAGGATTACAAAACAAAAAAACAAAAAAAACCACCCCACCCAATGGAGCTTTCTCATAAGGGCCAGCCCAGGAAATGTCAGAGTGGAGGTCTAATAGAGTTGCACAAAGGAATCTGGGAGGAAAGGTGGAAATGCAACTGGAAAAGTCTACACGTGCCCGAAGGAAGGCATCAACTTTAAACACTTGGGGGGATGGGATGGAGACCCTTTGGTTTGGGGTTAAATTTATTTGAATCAATATTTTGCTGATTTTTCGGGGCAAGGGAAGGATGAGATCTATTCAGTATTATGCTGAGAAAATGTGGCTTTTGACTTGTGATGGTTCTTCTGTGTTTGCTGCAAAAAAAATAGCTAATGTAAGATGATAGAGGGATTTTAAAAGATTGCCCTTCCTTCCTTCCTTCCTTCCTTCTTTCCATCCCTCCCTCCCTCCCTTCCTGTTTTTTCTTTCTTTTATGTTGTTCTGTTCTTTCTAAAGCAGAAATCATGCCCGCTCCTCACGTTGGACTTGTTGGTATTATTTACATCAATTATAACAGCAAAAAAGAACAAGAAAGCTATAACATACTTGAAAACCTGTGTTTCTTCCCAGATAGCTGAGCACTGTAGGCATGATGGAGATTTGTTGGAAATCCATATCTAATTTCTAAAATGTTCTTCAAAAGAAAAGCTATTACTTTGAGGGTAGTTTGCAAAAGATGCTGTGTTGAAAAAGCTAGTGGGGTTTTCCCCCCCTTTTCATTGTGATCTGTGATCTGGACAGTAAAAACTAGGGGGCGGGAGGGGGGGAGGCCAGGGAATGAGGCATGCAGATACATGTTGTTTTGAAATATTTGTATTGATTTTTGTATGAATGTAGGAAATATATGACTTGGTGTGGCATTTAAGTAAGAGCTACATCTGCTGATCCTCACTTAACAATGTTTACAAACTAAATAAATAAAAATGCAACTTTTCAGCAATTGGAGTTCCACAACATTGTAGTACTAATCCAGAAGAGTATTGGCAAAAACTGGAACATTTTTTTGTGAATTATAGGCAATGAGTCAGATTGAATGTTTTGAGCAAATCAAAATCAGATCAGCATCTGGATTGGGGTAGCTACGTGAGCAAGGCTTAGACTTAAGAATGGATGCACACAAGCAGACTGTAGGAAGGGGTGGTCTAGGGTTTCACTGGAAGAACTCAAGCTGAGATAGTTAACAATCCAAACAATATTGTCATCACTGTTGAACTATTATGGGCAAAACTTGATATCTAACAGAGTAAGATCAAAGCTAGTGTATTACACTGGAGTAAATTTTCTCTTCTTTTGATATTCTTGCCGTATGAATTCCACTAAGGATGGATGTTAAATTGTAAATCAGAAGGTTCCTGGTTTATATCCAGCTGAATCTGTGCTGGTTGTTCTGCATTATCCCTAGCTTCTGCAGCTTTATCCAGTATTATTTCCATTTTAGAATGAAAAGGCTTAAAATTGCAAAAATAATAGTTCTATACTGAAGGGTCATTTCTCAGGATGCTGCATTCTCTACTTAATGCAACCACATGGGATGATCACAATACACAAAAGTATAAATTGGTAACTTCCCATGTTGTACTAGACCAGTGTTTCTCAAGCTTGACAATTTTAAGGCATGTGGACTTCAACTCCCAGAATTCCACACCCAGCAATGCTGGCTGTGGAATTCTGGGAGTTGAAGTCCACATGCCTTAAAATTGTCAAGGTTGAGAAACACTGTACTAGACAATCATAGTATTTGCGGGAAATACTTTGGGGAAAAGGTATTTGGAGGTGGTGGTGGTGGGGAATAAGGGTATTTCTTTATTGGAACCACTCATTAGACAAAGAAGCAAAACAAAATGGCTGTCTGGTCCCCATACAGTGGATTCAAAGCATCCCTAACCTTGTCTTTTCCTGCAAGACACAAGCCATGTACTAACAGCTTTATCCTCCATCCTTTCTTGTTTTGATTTTCCCGTCCAAAGGTAATTAGATGTTTTTGGCCTGGAACCAACGGTATCTAGGCCCAGACTGTCCCTACTTCTTGACCCAGGGGAAATTTTGCCCATTTCTTCTTTCTGGTACAGGTCCCTGGTGAAAGGGATCGTCTAATACTGGGAGTAGCTCTTCAGGACGCAAGAGTGGCTGCATTCTTTGAGCAAAGAATCCAAAGAGATACTTTATTGAAGAATAAAGGTTTCACACGCTCAATTTTATGTCTCAAGTTGTTCAAAGCTCAGAAGTAAGTCTGATAAAAGAAATAAATGAATGAAACAGCAACCCTGGTTCTGACCAATTCAAGAGGTTTATGTGCCTCTTCTAACAACTACGGTTTTGTTAGATGTCTGTAGATCAGATGATTGTTCTTGGAAAAGAGATTTTTTTAATAAGGCTTCTGAGTCACATAAAAATATTTTGGAATGCAGTTGTTGCTATATCCATCAGATACCTTTTTATGATATCTAATGATATCATAAAAGAATGTATGAATGTAGAAAGTCCATCTTTCTACATTCATAACTAAATAACACCAACTGCAAATCACGCATTTTTATTAATAGGAAAACACTATCTTGGCAACAGGTTTTGGTGCAAGCACAGTTTTGTTTCCTAAACGCTGGATTTCCCCCCCCTCATATTTGGAGGGAGAATAAGTCAGTTCTCACAAACAATATAGAGGTTAGGCAGACTGTAGGTCAGAAATCTACAGTGTATCCAACGCTATTGGAATCCAAATCTTATGAATCAGTAAGCAGAATTACCAGTTAAGAATGAAAGACATGATCCAATAGAAGTTGGAGAGCTGCAGGTTTCATCATCTTGCTGTCCTGCTCCACTCTCATTTGGTGGATCCTTACTCAGTTCTAATTCCAGAGGAGAGATGGGTAACTTTTGATGACTTGAACAGATTAAAAATAAGCTGGAAAGAAGCTTTGACAGGGCAGAGATGCAGTGACATTGAAATAGATTCCCGGAGATTTTTGATCCATGTACATGTGATGCATTAAGCCTAAAACAAGAGTTACATATTGTTTTAATTGTCCCCCCCAAAATCAGACTCCGCTTCCTTGGCTATTTGCACATTTTGGGAGTGCTGTCAAAAAAATAAAAACAGATTTTTTTCTGCTCAACCATCTCCCCTTAGCAAACTGCCACAATTTTCCATTCCCCAATAGCATGTTGCTTTTTTTTCTATAGATCTTTCCATGCCTAAACATTCTCAGTCAATCTAAGGCAGTGTCTCCCTACCTAAGCAATTTTATGATATGTGGACTTCAAGAATTCTCCAATGAACATGCTGGCTGGGGATTTCTGGGAGTTGAAGTCCACACACCTTAAAGTTGCCAAGGTAGGGAAACACTGATTTTGCCCCTGAAAAAATTGCTGAAAGATTTAATAACTGATATTTTCAGTAAAATTCGCCATTATATTCTGGGACTATTTTGAATACCCTCTGATTTGGATTTACTGACAATGGCCATTCCCCTCTAAGAAATCATCTTCAGTATTACTGCATTTGGACATTGCCCCCAACACTCCTTGGTTTGAAGAAATGCTTAATAAACAAATATAATTACAGTATATTTTATTTACTGTGTGAAATTGAGGATTACGTGTAGGTCGACAAGAAACCTTTAATTGGAAATGATTATTTTTATTTATTTATATAAAACTTAAATTTATATATTATCTTATATGCTGCTCCATTTCTAAAGGCTCTTGAGTTTCTTGACCTGTGGGATTTGGTAGTATCATATACCATTCATCATGGAAACATATAGCTTCATACAAATACAATAAATACACTGCCCGGAACCCTTCCCTGAGGGAGATGGGTGGTTTAGAAATAGGATGGATGGATGGATGGATAGATAAGATAGATAGATAGATAGATAGATAGATAGATAGATAGATAGAAAGATAGATAGATAGATAGATAGATAGATAGATAGATAGATAGATAGATAGATAGATAGATAGATAGATAGATAGATAGAAACAAGAATTAGCATATTCAGAGCTTGTGTCAGCATTTGACATTTTCAGTCATCATCATCAACATCATCAGGTCCTATGCAGAGCTCATTGGGCAGTAAATGATTTCCAGTGATTTTGATCATTCGCAACATTTTCAGCTTTGTCACAAGAGACATTAATAATCTTAAGATCTTTAAGTGTTTGGCGTTAGGTTTTCCAAGGCTGGCTTCGTTTCCTCTTTTGTCTAGGACAGGGGTAGAGAACCGTGGCTCTTTTATGACTTGTGGACTTCAACTCCCAGAATTCCTGAGTCAGCCATGCTGACTCAGGAATTCTGGGAGTTGAGGTCCACAAAGTCATAAAAGAGCCAAGGTTCCCTACTCCTCATCTAGGAGGTATCCATTGTAGTACAATTTTTGGATGCCAGTCTTTAGGCACGTATAAGGTATGACCAACAAATTGCATTCAACATTCATCCACAGCACTCGATAGGTGTTCTAAATCTGATTTTGGATACTACATATAGTTTAAAGTAGCCACTTGTTAATGTACCACAGTAATTTTGAACTAGCATCACACTTAGGGCTTGCAGGAAGGGCAAAATCTAGTTAGTCAAACTTAACAGTGCTACTTGAAGTGATGCCATAGATGAATAAGGCCATTGGGACTTAATGAATGAGGAATAGGCTCACCAGACTTCTTTGTTTTAAATATAGAATGAGTTCTGAATGTGTTAACTACAAGCCAATCTAATCTCTGGGAACCCCCACTCCCATCCCAAATGAATAAAGCAAATGCAGGACTACTAAAGTCTTTTTTCTATGAGCTGATATTTAAGAAAGAAAAAGAACCACTCCTGCAAAATAAATTATTAACAACAATGGTTTAATACTATATATATATATATATGGTAGCTGAAAAGGAACACAGCTTTGTACAAGGCACTCAGATTGTTTTATTGGACTGATACAAGCTTTATAATTTCTTTCTTACTCTACCTAATG